TTCAACTGCTCCTGCGTGGGCATCTCCAGGTGCCTGGCCGCCTACTGCAAGGAGGACACCCCCAACGCCTCCTTCGACGACATCACGGACGAGGACAAGGCGGAGGCCAAGAAGTACGGCGATCTCATGGGCCAGAAGGCTCTTGGAATTCTGACTGGCTGAGGCCAAACTCGCAGACTGGTTTCACAACTTGCCTGGCATATTTTCGTCCCTTGAGCCTGGCATGAAAGCTCCAAGGGGCCACAACGATCTTGCCGAGCCCGTTTTAATCACACGGGTTTCTGCAGGAACCTGTACGAACCTGAACCTTGCATGGGACTTCCACTCAAAGTGTGACTGTACAAGTCTCAGATGGATGAAGTGTCCGATCTGGGAAGAAACACGGAAGCAACTGAAGCCTGCAGCTCTGTCTGATGCTGCGGCTGTTTGGGGTGATGCTGAGGTTTGTGTGCGCTGTAGTTTGCGGCCCAACACCTGTGACGTGCTTCGATCATACCGATCATACCTTCTACCTTTTCCCACGGACATGGGGCCACACGTCCGCGATTGCAGCCCTTGAAGGTGTTGGCTTGGTATTTTGTGTCCAGCAGTGGTTCCCTTCCGTCCTTTCCTGATCCGGCAACCGAGCGCCCCTCGCAAAGCCCAGGGGTGCCGCTTCCAGCGAAGTGAAGAACGCCATCGAGGGCAAGTCGGCTGACGAGATCGCGGCGGCTCTGAAGGCTGCCTGCTTGGGGTCAACGGAGGCTTCACGTTTTCTGGCGAGACTTCGTTTGTCTCCGTTTGTAGGAGCTCCCCGCTGACCAGCTGGCAAAGGTCAAGGAGGCGGTGGGCAAAGGCACAGTCAGATGTTCAAGAGTGTTCAAGCCAGTTTCTGCTCCGAATCACGTTCCCACAGCGGAACATCAAAGATCCTCTGCGCAGGTGCTCCCGCAGGCCAGGCCAGTTCTCTTGCTTTGCCTTAGCGTCTCTGGAAGTTTGAACCTGTTTGGCAGCTGCCTGCCCGGGCCCGGTCGACTGCTCCAAGATTACGGTCGTCGGAAAGGCCCGACACGGTCTGTGTGAAGGGCCTTCGCCTCAACACCCTGTCAGCTTTGTAGAAGTTTTTCCTTTTTTGGCCGGTAGCTTCCGCGCAGGACTACAAGGGCCTCTTGGAGCAGCCTGCGGAACCAAAGTTCAAGGCTTGGAGAGCTCGAAGCACTTGGCTCACATGGGGGCCTGGGGGCAATGGCAGGGAGCTCTGGCGCAAATCTTCGTCCGCTCGCAGCCTTACGGAGGCAGGCTGATGAACAAGTTGCTAGAGACCGTAACAGTTACTGTAACATATACAGTACCTGCCCAGCACGCTTGGCAAACAGATGGCACGGCCTTTGCCCAGGATCTGACAAGAGCAACAACGGCTGGCTCCTCAGTGTCTTGAGCATCTCATAGCATCTTGTCGTGCATTCGACCTGAGCAGTTTGTTGTTGCCTCTGCTTTTGCACGACGTGTCAGCCCCATTCAGACGTCCCCTTTCGCACGAAGTCCACTTTCCACTCTTCAGTCCTTCAGGCCACCGCTACGACTCCATTCCCTTCGCCAATGGCATGATCACTTCCGG